CACTCATCAATAACTGTATATACTGGGATCGGGCAAAACAAATACAGGACGCAGTTCAGCACAGTGTTTTGTTCCAGCCCTGAGAAACTGTGGGAATGAGGGAGAACAGCTGGGCAGACTGGAAACTGACACTCTGATCAGAGCACTCTGAAGAGCTAACCCTACACTGCTGCATAGTGGGGGCTTCTCACAGCTGGACCAGGAAATGCCAGCTTCCCTGAGGATCAGTTCCCAGTGCCTCTTGCTCACTGCCACCGTGCTAACTAACGTGTCCGTTTTTTAGAGCACGCATTAAATGAAGAGGAAGACAGCTTTCTACTGAGATTTGGACATCTGTGTTGTTGATCACTCAGGGTACAGCTACACCACAAAAAACCTGCTTGGCCGAGAGCCTCGGAGCCTACGCTCGGAGACCCATCCCCCTCACCCAAACATATACTGCTATCTTTAGTCCTGCTGTTTCAGCCCCCCAATCCTGAGTCAGCTGACTGGGGCTCCGAGACTGAGGTTTGGGGTGTTTTTGCTGTGGTGGAGACATACCCTAAGGGCCAGATCCAGAGGCCACTGAAATCAGTTGAAAGACTCGCAATGACTACAGGGGGGTTGGAATCCGGGCCTTCCTTTATGTATATTTATAATGTTTTATTATTCCAAATACAAATATATCCAAATACCAGATTCATCATAATACCCAGAGTAAGCAAAGAGGGGTAGGATAAAAGGAGGAGAGGGGAATGCCAGTCTTTTGTTAGCTGTGAGTTCCAGCTGTATCACAGAGCCACACATCAATGTTTGATGGGGAGCGATTTAAGTTTTTGCAGCATTAATTGTTTACTGACCAATGTTGGAATCACCCTGTCTTGTTACCAGGTAACTTCCAGGTATCGGGGGGTTCAGAGACTTCCTGCAGTTGGCATGCAAAGGCAGAAGGAACTGTGAACACTTTGAACATTTTTATAAGCATACTATACAATCTCAGACTGTTTCCTCACGTTAACAGAGATCCATTTTAGAGATAAAGGTGTGGAGTAGACAAACAGGAAGGATGCTGTAACCATAACTTTTATCTTCATATAACCTAGACATAATTTTGTACCAAGATCCTCAAAGGTGCTTCTCAGAGAAAATTTTGTAATTTTGATTTAAAACAAACACACACAAAGATTTTCATGTAATCAGGATGATTTCTGGTAAGAGATGAGCAGACTCGATTGTTAAACTGTTGGAAGAGTGACGGGTTAGGACTCGGTCTGGTGCAACACACAGCTGATCCAAAGAACAGTGTGTGCTGCAATGGACATTCAGCATGGGGTTTTAAAAATCTTTCATTGGCCTAACTGCTTCTATTGAAGTCAACAGCAAGAGCTGCTGTAAGTCCTGCCATCAGACTACGGATAGGATCTCATTGTTTTGACTTTCGAAGACAGATTCTGACTTCTCTCGCACCAGTGTAATGCAGGAGTAATGCAGGTGTGAGACCAGAAGCTCATTCTAATGTATCAGTAAAATACAGACTGGTTTTCTGACAATCCCAGTGATATAGCAAAATAATTAGGCTATTACAATTCTAATGACCAGGAAGGTGAAGTTTCTCTAAATCTCAATCTCATCCTGTGTTTCGTTTCTCATTGACAGATACCGCTGCTTTCTTAACCCAGAGTTTAGGGAGAGGGACTCCAGACCCAATTTCCTTTTTATTCTAAACACTTTCTCTGAGCCAGCGAATCTCACATACAGGATGTGATTAAAATCAACACTGTCACCACAATATTTATAGCTCAGCATTATTGTCTCTCTACAGCTTGGTGGACAATAAGAGTGAATGAAGGTCATGCCTAGGGTAACTCCACTGAAAGCAATGACTGACAATGGAAAGTTTGCTTACTTTAATTTTCCTAATCATTCCTTTAAAAGTACCCCCCACATTGGCTTTCCTGCATCACCAGCTGGATTAATTCTAATAAGTTTATCTTGACTGGTATCAGGAGATATGTGGCTCTGTCTTGTACATACTAGGTCTTTACATTCTCAGGAAATCTGCTCTAGTTTAGGGTTACCATATTTAAAAAATAAAAAAAGAGGACACTCCACGGGCCCTAGCCCCGCCCATTTCCCACCCCTAGCCCCGCCCCAACTCTGCCCTTTCCCTGCCCCTTCCCCAAAGTCCCCGCCCTAACTCCCCCTCCTCTCTCCCAGCCACGCGAAAAGGGCTGCCCGAGCGCTACTGGCTTTACGGTTTGCCGGGCAGCCTCCAGACCCTGCGCCCCCGGCCGGCGCTTCCCCAGGGTGAAGGATAAGCCCCCTAACATAGCTGGTGAAAAAGTGGGTTTTAAAAAACAACTGAGCAAAACTGTTCTTCCCACCAGAACGGCCTGAATTTGTATCAGTTAGGTTGTGTTCTATTGCATGACTGTACAAAATGAAATATGCTGGCTCATCCCAATCCAGTTCATTATGGGACATCCTCATTCTTTGTTTTGCAGTGTCCCTCAACCAAAAAGCATGGGGGCCACATGTCCAAAACCAGGTCCATTAACTGGGGTGCCCGTTACACCCATGTCTGCGGGAAGCAGAATTTATCTCAGCCTGCAGTCCCCTTACATGGCTTAAATCCAATTCAAATTTCAGTACGGTTAGTGGACTTACTTTGGATTTATACTGATGTAAGTGGAGAGCAGAATTTAGCCCAACATTTGTTGCGTTACCAAGATCTCTGACATACCCTTCCAACATGACTCGGTTTCCCCTTGGTAACGGCAGTGAGAGGAATTTATTATTCATTCTTCAGGGTAGCTAGTGTTTTTTCTAGTTTCCTAGAGTTCTGGAAATGGGAGAGCCTGTCACTAATGTGGTTAATGGTATGAATCATATCAGTTTTTTTTAAAAAGCACAGAGGAAGAACCGGATGTATTGTTTCCAAAGTAAAATGTGCTTAGTCATAATTAACTGAGACAACAAAATGGACGTATTCTATGTATTAAGAGCCTGACCTGCCAAGGTGCTGAGTGCCTTCTGGGAAGTGCTGAGTACTCTCCATTCGAATTGACTTCTTAGAAGTTGAGGAGTTTCAGCATCTTCCTGGAAGCCCTTAGGACTCTGCAGGATTGAACCCTCTCTGGTAACCAAGAATGAATAGATTTTGCCTTAGCAAAAACGCAGTTAAACTTCTGTTGCTTGAAACATTCACGTAAACAAATCCCTCTTTACATCTACATCATCACAACTGCCGCAGCCTGCTCATCCCTGCAGATGTCTTCAACACTGGGACACATGACCAGCCTTATGTAGGAGACATCAAGTTTAGTCCATATTTACTCTCCAGGAAAATTCAGTAACTATTATGCACGAATTGCTTGTCAAAGCCCCATCCACTATCTGTTATTCTCTTATTCACCTTAGTTACCTGTAAATAGGACCATTACGGTCCATTCCAAGATGAAATAAGGAGCCATGGTGATAACTGAAGAGAAGGCAGAGAACGGTCTTCTTTAAACTTCTCAAGGGCTTGGGGGGGGGGGAATGTACTTTTCCAACACAATCTTTTATTTTCACTTCCCTAATGTCACAAACGATGTCACACTTAACACACTGAATATTGCTCATAGGCCTAATCAGGGTTGACTTTTCCTGTGGTTAGCCTTTTGCTCTCTTTCTCCGTGTCCACACGAGCAATTAGCTGTTGCTGCCAGTGGGTGCACATGGTTTAACTGCAAGAGCAACCCGCTCAGAAGCATTTCAGAAGTCCCGATTACAACCTGCTTGACCACGGTTTCTGAATTACCATTGAGCTCAAATTGTCCTTATTGCCACTTGCAGTTAAACTCTGTTCAGCTGCACCTGTTTCTTACACCCAAACTGTGGTGACATATAGAATATTTTTGATGTTTCTCCCTGTCCCCCGTTGTCCCCGTTTGCTTAGCCACATTGCATAGCTATCGCAAAAGAGTTCACATGAATGTGTAGTGCAGAGAGACGGATGAAAAGGAGATACAGAGGAGGAAGCTCCTAGGAGAAAGATTGGTATTAATGAATTCCCAAGTGTTTATAATTCATACTACCCTAACACTTAGGCATTGTGGCGTTGCTCTCTTTCACTATCAGAAGTGGCAATTTGCATCTGATAACAAATGTAATATACTCATATCGCTCCCATTCGGTGAATGGATTCTGAGAATGGCACTAAACGGTGGGAGCCTTGTGTCTGCAATAGACTGGCAAAGTCTTAGCCTCGAATTTGTAGACCAGGGGTAGGCAACCTATGGCACGCGGGCCGAAGGCGGCACGCGCGCTGATTTTCAGTGGCACTCACACTGCCCGGGTCCTGGCCACCGGTCCGGGGGGCTCTGGATTTTAATTTAATTTTAAATGAAGCTTCTTAAACATTTTAAAAACCTTATTTACTTTACATACAACAATAGTTTAGTTCTATATTATAGATTTATAGAAAGAGACCTTCTAAAAACGCTAAAATGTATGACTGGCACGCAAAACCTTAAATTAGAGTGAATAAATGGAGACTCGGCACACCACTTCTGAAAGGTTTCAGAGTAGCAGCCGTGTTAGTCTGTATCCGCAAAAAGAACAGGAGTACTTGTGGCACCTTAGAGACTAACAAATTTATTAGAGCATAAGCTTTCGTGGACTACAGCCCACTTGTATTCACCAGGAGTTGGTGGGAGGAAGGAGGGGAATGGTTAATTTCTCCCTGTTTTAGATCCAAGTGCATCCGAAGAAGTGGGTGCCACAAGTACTCCTGTTCTTTTCACTTCTGAAAGGTTGCCTACTCCTGTTGTAGACACTTCTTGCTTAACTGGAGTGATGCAAGTAACAGTTTGTCAGTCCATGTGCCCTCCACCAGGAGCACCCATCTTCAGTATTCTCAGTTGTATCAAACAAGGTCAGTAGAACATATAGTTTAGAGTGCTGTATAAACTGTGCTCGTTTTGTAGTAACTGGCTAAAGCCACAGTGTTGATATGGGCAAGCATCCAATCATTCCTTAGTCCATCGTATAAATGTTCTCTTCTGCATGGACCCCAGCTTCCAACCTGCTCTGGAAGCCTCCTTGTTCTGCGTTGGAAAATGAGACTGAGCTGCAGAGAGAGGAACAGACCCTGACCAGTAAAACATAAATAACAAAACAGAAACACAAGAAACCCGATCTCCAAAGCAGCCGGTGTATTGGAAAATATGAACCATAGTAGCATTTACTATTAGACGCCGGTAATAATTAATCATTATGTATTTATAAGGCACCGCAGGCCTGAAAATCTCCTGCTGCTTAATATAATATCAAGATATCAAGATATCCAACCCACGAGCCAGATCAACCGACTCATTTTCGTTTACTAAGCAATGAGGAATAGCAAGGATAATGAATTTCTCGTTTTGCATCGTTGTGTCTGATTATCTGTCCTGATATGACAAAGCCAATCAAAGGAAAAGCGTGGAGCTCTGGAAATGTCAGCATGTGTCCAGGAGTGTCTGATTGGCACATTTCTTTCTGTCCTACCAAAGGTGCAGACATTTGGGGACCTAGTTTTTGATTATGGCTACGGCAGAAATAGCATAGTGAATAGCATTTACCTTGCCAAAGTCTTCAGCTTCTGTCTGTTGGGGAAATACCCTGAGGATCATCCAAAATAGGAAAGCGGGGGAGGAAGGGGGAAGAGGAGGAGAAGAAATGAGTTTGAAAATCATTTTTTTTAAAAAGCAGCAGGTTTAATGAGAAAAAGTCAAGTGCAAAAACTGAAATAAGGGAGCTTTAAAGTGGGTCCTTTAAATATGTGAAACACCCATTATTTACATGAGGCCAAACTCATGTGTATACACCCA